TCTCCCATTCTGTCGGTTGTCTTTTGGTTTTGTGGACTGTTTCTTTTGCTGTGCAAAAGCTTTTTATCTTGATGAAATCCCAATAGTTCATTTTTGCCCTTGCTTCCCTTGCTTTTGGCGATGTTTCTAGGAAGAAGTTGCTGTGGCTGAGGTCGAAGAGGTTGCTGCCTGTGTTCTCCTTTAGGATTCTGATGGACTCCTGGCTCACATTTAGGTCTTTCAACCATTTGGAGTCTATTTTTGTGTGTGGTGTAAGGAAATGGTCCAGTTTCATTCTTCTGCATGTGGCTGTCCAATTTTCCCAACACCATTTGTTGAAGAGACTATTTCCATTGGACATTCTTTCCTGCTTTGTCAAAGATTAGTTGACCATAGAGTTGAGGGTCCATTTCTGGGCTCTCTATTCTGTTCCACTGATCTATGTGTCTGTTTTTGTGCCAGTACCATTCTGTCTTGATGATGACAGCTTTGTAATAGAGCTGGAAGTCCAGAATTGTGATGCCGCCAGCTTTGCTTTTCTTTTTCAACATTCCTCTGGCTATTCGGGGTCTTTTCTGGTTCCATACAAATTTTAGGATTATTTGTTCCATTTCTTTGAAAAAAGTGGATGGCATTTTGATGGGGATTGCATTGAATGTGTAAATCAAAACCTCAATGAGATACCACCTCACACCACTCAGAATGGCTAAAATTAACAAGTCAGGAACCGACAGATGTTGGTGGGGATGCAGAGAAAGGGGAACCCTCCTACACTGTTGGTGGGAATGCAAGCTGGTGCAACCACTCTGGAAAACAGTATGGAGGTTCCTCAAACAGTTGAAAATAGAGCTACCATACGATCCAGCAATTGCACTACTGGGTATTTACCACAAAGATACAAATGTAGGGATCCAAAGGGGTATGTGCACCCCAATGTTTATAGCAGCAATGTCCACAATAGCCAAACTGTGGAAAGAGCCAAGATGTCCATCGACAGACGAATGGGTAAAGAAGAAGTGGTATATATACACAATGGAATATTATGCAGCCATCAAAAGGAATGAGATCTTGCCATTTGCAACGACGTGGATGGAACTGGAGGGTGTTATGCTGAGTGAAATAAATCAATCAGAGAAAGACATGTATCATATGACCTCACTGATATGAGGAATTCTTTTTTTTTTTAAAGATTTATTTATTTGAGAGAGTGAGAATGAGAAAGAGAGAGTACATGAGAGGGGGGAGGGTCAGAGGGAGAAGCAGGCTCCCCGCCGAGCAGGGAGCCCGATGCGGGACTCGATCCCGGGACTCCGGGATCATGACCTGAGCCAAAGGCAGTCGCTTAACCAACTGAGCCATCCAGGCGCCCGATATGAGGAATTCTTAATCTCAGGAAACAAACTGAGGGTTCCTGGAGTGGTGGGGGGTGGGAAGGATGGGGTGGCTGGGTGATAGACGTTGGGGAGGGTATGTGCTATGGTGAGCACTGTGAATTGTGCAAGACTGCTGAATCACAAATCTGTACTTCTGAAACAAATAATGCAATATATGTTAAGAAAAAAAAAAGCAGAAGATAGCAGGAGGGGAAGAATGAAGGGAGGTAAATCGGAGGGGGAGACGAACCATGAGAGACGATGGACTCTGAAAAACAAACTGAGGGTTCTAGAGAGGAGGGGTGTGGGGGGATGGGTTAGCCTGGTGATGGGTATTAAAGAGGGCACGTTCTGCGTAGAGCAGTGGGTGTTATGCACAAACAATGAATCATGGAACACTACTTCAAAAACTAATGATGTAATGTATGATGATTAACATAACAATAAAGAATTTAAAGAAAAAAAAACCCCAAAAAACTCAAGTTAAAAACAGATTAATGACTAAGGAATACCAATACTACTTATTAAGGATTGTAACATATTTACAGAAATTTCATTACAAACTCTGACTTAGGCAGCAGATAATAATATCATAGGGGCATAAGGTACAAAGGGCAAAAGTGTAAGACTTTTAAGAAAATATCTTTGTTAAATTAACCTACTGGAGTTTCTTCTTGATAATCTTAAAAAGGAAGTGTAGCTTTACTAAAATGTGTAAAAATTACTTGCACAGAAGTGATTGACATTTCTAAAAAAATAAGAAAGAATAAACCAGACAAAGAAATTCAAGTGGAAGTGGGAAGAAGTAGTCCTACGTGGCTTATTTATATATTCTGGTCAACCAACTTAAATAATCAGATGTTGCAAACTGAATGGCAAGACTGCAAAGAAACACAAAAATTAGCCTCTGTCCATTTACTTGGATACAATGGACTCACTTAGGTACATTAAAGAAATAAAGAAATAACTTCTTTGTACATACTGGGCTATAATATTTTCATCTTCAACTCACCTACAGTTTCTAGGTCATGAGAAATGTATCTTAATTCATCCTTATTTCTAAGAAATTACTAGTACAGGGAAAGCCCAAAGGCTGCAGGTGAACTTGAACATTTAGACATATCTGAACTTCTTATGAAAATTTATTTTCAGAAGCTTGGTAAGTGCTCTATGCTCAAAAGGAAAAGTCAAACTACCCTTACAGTCTTTAGAAGCTGGGATGTTTTGTGAGGTTTTTTTTTTAAAAACTTTAATCAGGAGAGCGTGGTGTGGCTGGATCTCTATCACTTGAAAATAGGTATCCAATGCAGTCAGAGTGACCACAGTCTCTCATTTTCATGTTAGCTAAAAGTTCTAAAAGTTTTCATAAAACATGCTCAAAAACACCAAGAACACTGTTGCCATAATGTATTAAATATGGTTATTTTTTGGTTGCTGAAACAGTTTGTCCTCATTGTTCCAGGTACTTTTTATGTATATAATCTGTCATTGAGTATAAACTCCTTGGGGCAATGACTGTATTGTCAACTAGTATATAAAATTTTACTTTTTTAGAGAATGGAACTGAAAACTTTCCTGGCAGATGTAACAATGAACAAAAACTGGAAAGACCTGGGATGTGTGTTTGCATCCTATGACTGGCAACAGGAAAGCCTGGAAAGAAAAGGAGATTAGGAAACAGAGGACCTGTGTTCTGGAACTGGGTCTGCCACTTAGTACCCACAGTGACTTGAAACAAGTCTCAGCCTCGAAGATCTTGTTTCTCCATATGTAAGACGGGTCAGGATGTTGGTCTGCAGGGCAATGGTGGGAATCATGATCATGTGACTGTGCTCTGAAGTGATACGGGCTATAGATAGATAGAGCATCATCAACAGAGTTAGTTTCTCTCTCAGAAAGATTTTCAAGCTTCCAACAAAATGGTATTTTACCAAGAAGCTTGACAATTCTAAATATGATTTAAGAAACAAACACTGCAGTAGTCTGAGAATCTTCGGTGTTGTCTGTGCATTGACACAGACCAACCTGTGAATGTTACACAAGGCCTCCCCCCTTAATTTTCTTGACTAGAAAACAGAGGGGATGTAGAATTTCTAAGGAATCTTCTAGGTCATGATTCGGTGACTTTTGGAAACACCATTTAAAAATTATGTTTGTCTTTCATCTGTAGAATGAAACATTATCTTGTGAGATAGTGCACGAGTTTATTTGATAATTCCTGTAAATTAGACTGTCACCTACATCAGAATTTTTGAACTGAAAGAGACATATTATTCTTCAAGAGGACAAAGCAGATAGCAGGGTTAACTTGAACAAGTACCCTCCTGAAGGAAATTCAGCAGGGATGATCCGGTGTGTGTGTGTGCAAGCAAGTACATATGAGCATATGAGGGGATGGTGGTGGCTGAACGGGAGGGCACGGCAGGTATCTAGGCTGTTCAAGGCTGTTACACTCATGTGATGGTTTGCTAGTGATGTGTGAATATGAAGTCTGGGCTGAAAGTTAGGTATAAAATCATCTGCAGTGATTAAAAAAAAGTGAGAAATATTCTGGGAAGGTTTTTGATGTAATTTTTTTGAGGTAAAAGGGATTTTCTATTTATGCATTAAGTGACACAGCAACTACCTAATAAAAATACAAAAACTTCCTAGTGATCTTTAAAATAAATACCTCAAAGTAAACTGCTTAAATATATTAGGCATTTGTAGAAAATACATAGTTATAATGTTCTGGGTATTAGCGTTTTTTTTTTTCTTTAATGCCTCAAAATAGGTATTTCATATATATCTTTTTAACCATGTCATCTACTTGTTTTCAGTTAATGTCATTTTTTAAAAAGATTTTATTTATTTATTTGACAGAGAGAGACACAGCAAGAGAGGGAACACAAGCAGGGGGAGTGGGAGAGGGAGAAGCAGGCTTCCCGCCGAGCAGGGAGCCTGATGCGGGGCTCGATCCCAGGACCCTGGGATCATGACCTGAGCCAAAGGCAGACGCCTAATGACTGAGCCACCCAGGCGCCCCTCAGTTAATGTCATTTTAAAATATTACTCAAACAGGGGTGCTTGGGTGGTTGAGCTGGTTGAGCGTCTGACTCTTCATTTTGGCTCAGGTCATGATGTCAGCTCATGGTCATGGGATCGAGCCCCATTGGGGTCTGTACTCAGAGTCTGCTTGGGATTCTCTCCCTCTCCCTTTTGCCCCCCCCCACTCATGTGTGTGTACACGCGCTCTCTCTCTCTAAATTGAGTAAATAAAATCTTAAAAAAAAAAGTTACTCAAAAATAAAAGACAAAGTAGGTCCACAAAAACAAAAATTTAGTGTGATATTTTAATTTTATTTAATATTATTTCTTTAACTTAGTTATATATACATCCTCAAAGTCCAACCATTAAAATATTCTCCTTAAGCTAGCTTAACTCTTTCAAAAATCAATGATCTGAAATTTAACTTTTGGTGTAATGTCATAAAAAGAGAAATGGAGAAACTGTCCTTAAAAAAAAATACAAAAAAAATCAAAAACTAATGATGTAATATATGGTGATTAACATAACAATAAAAAAGAAAAAAATACAAAAAAACAAAAACCAAAAAAACCCCTCAACTATTTATCACCGCAAATTATTTAGGAGGAAAAGTTGCTTACTGTGCCATGGACTCTGAGCCCAGTCTGAAGCCCGGGGACTTGTCCTTAATGACTGGCTGCTGCGAAAGAAGAACAACAATGGGTAAGAAATGACTCGGAGAAGACAGTGTAGGCAACAGTCAGAACCTGCTGAATGAGAGCATGCCTGTCCTGAACATAAATGGCTATCAGCATCATGTATTCCCTCCGATGGAAAACCAAGGAACTGGTTCTCCAGATCATCTGAGCACTCTATACCTGAAGTCAGTTTTCAGGTATGTGGCAAAGACATCAGGTGTGAATCAGTCTAAATTAATCTAGAAATACTATATGGAGATAGCTTAAGTTCGAAATTTATCTTTCATTACTACAGCTTTCTTTCCTCATCTTTTCGGTACACTTTATATTTTCATAGTGATGATCACCATGGAACTACATGTAAAATTTTGGATCTGAAAACTCAGTCTTGTACAAAATTTGTTCAGTATGTATTTTATTAATGGCACCTTCCTGAGGAAAACAAATTAATAAGTGCTTCCAGCGATGCCAGATTATACTGAGTGTCTTGTTAGACGTTCCTCTGGAATTCGAGCATTAACTCCGGATCAAAGTATACTGTGGGGAAAATGGTGTTTGATAATCACGAAACAGTCTTTTATAAATCAACCCAATGTCGCTATAAAACTGACTACAAATGTTTTTTGAGAGATAATTACATGTTATGGAAAGAATTCATTTAAAATTCACATAGAAAATATACAATGTTCCTACATTAAAGTTTTGAGTTACATACAAATGAAAGGGATACATCATATCTACTTAATTATTTAAATTAAAAAAAAACTTCAGAAAACAAAAAACCAAAATGAAATGAAAGAAAAGGAGTATAACCTTTTCTTTCAGGCTTAAGTTGTTTGAGTAAGTATTACTTTCCCATTCTTATCTTTCCTGTAGCTTGTTTTGCTTTGTAGATTTCCTCCTCCACAATCAGATTTCTGTAAGATTTGGCACTGAATATCTTAAAACAAGTATTACTTATCATAAAGATTTCAAAAGGATATTGTTTTCTGGATCATAATTATGTCGTATTATTGCTCTCTGTACAGCTTTAAATCAAGCATATCATAAAAACAAGAATAAAAGAACAAGAAGACTTGGTGGTGAAAGGTAGATGTTGTAGCAAGTGACCCAATTTCACAAAACAACAAAAGAACTAGTAACACCTTGATTTTTCTCTACCAGTGAAGATGATCTGACTCAGTTCAAATGTGTTAGGGAAAAAAAGTACAAACACATGAAAAACTCAAATTCAAGGACTAATTCAGATTGCAGAACAGTCTACCTGCCCTCAACCCAATAGAGCAAGAAGCAAAGAAAACCATCAAAATCTAGACTCAGAAAGCATCAATTACAATCAAATTTCTTTAGTTTTCCCCCGCACTTATAAAATAAATTCCAAACATAGCAAATTAATTTTATTTTTTACATGGTCTAAGTATTACTTCTATCTCTTTGCCCATGGCAAGACCAATGTCTTACCGCAAATGTATGTATAATGTGTGAAACTTTGTTAAAACTCCGGATTAAAAAAAAAAAATCCTCAACATAACAACTCTAATCAGAATCTGAACCTACTGCAGAGGTTGAGGGAAGAAAAGTCAGACACTAATACATCACTGTTAAGTCAATGTTACTTTTAATTATTTGTGACCTTGACAAATGAGTAACAACATATTGCCACGTGTAGGTCTTATCAAACTGCTTTCAATAGTCTGTTCATGTGAAATGGATGCTATCATGTCCTCAAAAAGTTTGTCTTAAGTGGGTTTAAGAGTGTCCCTGCCATCTTTCCTACTGTATTACTGTGTTACAGTAACTGGCACATTCAAGTCCTTTTTCATGATGCAAAGGTGGCTTAACTTGGGTTCAAATCCTATGAATCTCAAGTTAACAGGGTATCCACATTACAAAGTTTTAACACTTATTTGTTAAAGGACACTTATTTAATTCGGACCAATATTCCACTTCTAAACACCTTTACTCACTCATTCCTTGGTCTCAGCAGCAGCACGCCATATGGGTAGTTACTCATGGAGGCAGAAGGAGGGGGAAGAAGGAGGTGTCTCTGTGAGCTGTTTTGTTTCATTTTCTCTTTTAACAAAAAGCCCCAAGGCTACAGTACAATCAGACCATAAGCACCACCACCCCCTCACCCCATCAACAAGGCCAAGGAGCATGACCGCCCTTCTTTCCCTCCTGTCCACGAACACCTCTCAAAGTTGTTTTGTGACTTCGTTTCCTCTTCACGGATACCCTTGATTTGGAGAGGAGGGGATGAAGAGAGGAAGATGAGCAAAGCAAAGGAGATGAATGAAAGGACCAGAATCCAGAGGCCCCTGCTTCCCAAACCCTCACAGCGTCTCAGTGATGCTTTTAAATTTAGATGCAGTGAGACTTAAACATGAAAGGAATGATTAATGGCATGATTTTAAGTGCCCCCACTGATTATGTGGAGATTCACCAAGAAGAAACAACTCATAAATAGCTTTGTAAAAGAGAAATGGGCCATGCAGACAACTCACCCAAATATTTCTGTAAACTTGAGGAACCAATGTTAAATTAAGTAAATGTTCAATGTCGGTTGTAGCTAGCATACCAGTGAGCTTTAAATAAGGCAAACTTATGATATAGTATAGCTCTATATTTACATGCTGTTTATAATACCTTCTAATATCTTCTACCTTGCCCATATGATTAGTATCTATAATTTACTTATATTCACTTTTCAGGATTTTTTTTAAAAATGAGGGAGAGAAAAACCACCACCGCCAGAGCTGGTGGCTAAGTTCCAGTCTTGGTTCTGTCATTAACTTTCTGTGCAGCCTGAGCACAAGCCACTTAACTCCTCTTGGGATCTGTTTTTTACTTGAAAATGAACAGACGGCGCTCAGAATAAAAGCATGAATGACCATAGCACCATTCTTGTATTTTACAGATGAGGAAATGGAGGCCCAGAGTCATCAAGCTTACAGAAGTAGCCTGAAGGCTACAATTCTATTTTTTCAAACTGATTTAATGACAAAACTATTTTTCACAACAATTTTGCATGAAAGGCTCATATATGAACGCTTAAGTGTAGAATTACTCTAGGTGAAGCTAGGTTTGGTGGCCTGGCCAGCCCTGTCTTCCCAGCCCTACTCCCCAGAGCCCTAAAGAGTAGGGGTCTACAGAAGAAGAGTTTATAGACCACTGGACTAGACAAGCGCTTCCAGATTTCCTCTGTTGCTAAAATTCTGTTTCCAGGAGCACAATTTTACAATTTTATATATTCATATCAGTTTGCTGTTGATTCTTTGATGTTAGTATTACTGATGATGTGAATTGTATTTGATGAATTATAATGCTTTTCCTTAAGGACAAAATAGTCCCCTGCATGAAGACGCAGTTTCTAGAAGTACATTAAAACAAAAAGCAAAGGTCTTTATCTTGGTTCATGGCTTGTAGTTTTTGGTACTGACTGTGCCAATTAAAACAAAAGATATTTATGAAACCCCACTCTGTGAGGCACTGTGCTAGATGTCCTGGGGGTACAAAGCTAAGTAGACTGTATGAAAGAGTTTATGATCCAATGGGGAAAGAGGTGGATTCAACCAGCAAGGCAGAAGGGGATAAATGTTATGATAAATGTAAAAAGAAAATATATTGAAATAAAGGAACAGTAGCCTTGAATTGTAACTTGAGGTTTTTGAGAAGGATTCACAGAGGAGGGAGCATTTAGCAAGATCTTAAAGAGATGAACTGAAATTCTGGTAACTGGAGAAGCACAAAAAAACTAAGTAATTCAAGGAAACAGGGTGAGCAAAGGTTTGAGGAATGTGTGCTGGGCAGCCTACTCAGGAGGTTGTTTTAGAAGATGAAGAAAAGTAGGTGAGAATGCAATTCAATCTTCAAGGTATGGGACCTAGAGATAAACATTTACAAGACTCGGACTTTATAGACAAAGGTAGAGCCAACCAAAATTTCTGAGCTGGTAAGTCACATGACTTGATTTCTATTTTAGCAAGGTTTCTCCTCTGTGGTAGGCAGGGAACAGGGGCATTAAAGGCTGGAGGCTGGAGGATGGAGCAGCGCCTGGGTGGCTCAGTCGTTAAGCATCTGCCTTTGGCTCAGGTCATGGTCCCAGGGTCCTGGGATGGAGCCCCGCATCGGGCTCCCCGCTCGTCAGGAAGCCTGCTTCTCCCTCTCCCACTCCCCCTGCTTGTGTTCCCTCTCTCGCTGTCTCTGTCAAATAAATAAATAAAATCTTAAAAAAAAATAAATAAAAGGCTGGAGAATGGAAGAGCCAAGACTGCTGGAGGCAGGGACCAGGGGGCCATTTCACGGCAATATCCTCCCCATGCTTTCTCCTCTCAGTTCACTCTTTAAAAAAACTGGCATCCCTAATACCTTCTGCCCTTTGTCCTTTCCATTCTTTATATTCCTCTGTTCCCATGCATTTAACCAGTGTGTTTGGGCTAATGACTTCCAAATCAATACCATGAAACCAGATCTCAAGTTGCCTTCAAAATGATTCGGCAATCGCCACTTTTCAGCACCTTTTGTAAACACAATTTTTTTCTGAAAACACACTTAGTTTCACCGAAACTACCTAGCAAGTCTGAGTTTTCAGCAAATCTCTCCTGAGTTCCCTGGATGCCTGCAAGATATCTGCCAACTTTGCGAGTCTCAAACCGAAGTGTTTCTCATACTCTTTAACATGCCAAGATGCTCAAATCAGCAACCCAGATTTCTCCTTTACTTTCAGATGGATTTAGTCACCACGCCCTAGTGTCTCATTGCGTTGGGCTCAGATTATTCAAGAGCTTCTCCTGCTTAGTTCCTTCGGTACTGCTTTTTTTGAGCTTCTAGAGTGAGTTTTGGTTTTTTAGAGACAGCGAGCGAGGGGGGTGGGCAAAGGGACAGGGAGAGAGACAGAGAATGCTAAGCAGGCTCTATACCCAGCACAGAGCCTGACGTGGGGCTCGATCTCATGACCCTGAGATCATGACCTGAGTCAAAACCAAGAATCGGACGCTTAACA